AGCCAGGAGGGAAGACTGGAGCTCTGAAGCTTCCCTTTCAAAGGCAGACACCAAACTGAAGGGTGTGCCACAGCCCTGCAGGCATGGCACCGCTCTGCATTCCAATGCTTTTCCTATTAATACTTATCTCCCTTTTGAAGCTTTTACATTTCCAATCCAAAATTTCCAAATGGACGCACTGAGGTCAGGCACTTACATCCCTATTTATGACGCCTGTTAGACGCAGCTGGCCATCCACAGAAGCAGACCAACAGCAAGACCGGTTTAATCAAGAACCACAAGCGTTTCCAAAAAAGAAAACAACAAACCTGAGTAGGGTGAAGAGCCACGTTTGCAACAGTTACACTGGGGTTGTGAGAGTGCAGAACCCCCTGAACTGACCTCAGTACTATTCCAAAGTTGCCCGTGGACTGAATCAAGACATGCTAGAAAGATGGAAACCTGCCCCGTGCATGGCAGGGTGTTAAAAGCTTGAAAGCAGATGGGGCGAGTGTAATGTCTCCACTGCAAGTCACGGATCTTCATCCACAGTTTCACTGAAGAACACACGCGAGAAGCAGCCGTCATCTGATGTACTTACCCAGCGGATAACGTGCAAACACAAGGCAGCCCGCATAAATGAGCTGGCAACAATTTAAGGTGAAGGAGAGACTATTCCCTGTGACAAAAACCTCCACGTTTTGCCTACAGGCACAGCAGTCACCGCACCCATCATATGCAGTTCACAATTTTAGATACCAATCATCAACAACTGACTTTTTAGACTGTCCTAAGCAAGATGATAGTTAAAAAGAGGGAGAAACTGGCTTTGTCGTTGTGTCCGTGACAGCACTTGCTCAAAGAAGCAAGGATAAAAGGAAGGCCAGACCTCTCCACGTTTGACTCGGGTACACCAAAGCAGTGTGTGTGCCTTCTTGTGCCTACACTCGGGTCACCTGTATCCTTTTCCTCATGCTAATGCCTGGGATCGTAGCCCTTACTGTCCCTTAGTACCGAGTAACTGATACTCTCAGCTTAACTGCAAGCCATGGATTAGCTCCCACTGACCTTTCACTCAGGTCTGACTCAAACTGTGAATTGAGATCTAGTGTCCAGTCTGTTCAGCACCAGGATTTATTTAACTGACTGCAGTTCACATTGCTTGAATATACTATTTGGTTTGTGCCCCCTTCTGACACTGAATCTGCAGCTGTATCTGTAAAATTATATGCACACGAGGCATTTTCATCTATTATATGTATATAGTAGATACAGAATTTATCCTTCATCGACACTCTAAATAATTTCCTTCTAAAGCAAGAGATGTGTTAGCACACACTGATTCTAAAATCACTATGCAAATGGAGAGAGAGGCCACAGATTGACAGAACAGTAAAAGTCACGAGGTATGTACCTGCTTTGCTGCTGAAGATGAGATTTCTTTTTTTTCCAGAAGGTTCAGGAGGTCAGCCAGGCGGGAAGAACTGACTGGGCTAGGGAAGAAGGGGGCAGACGTTACCTTGGAGAATAAGATGGAGCGATGTGTCTAGGCTGGTGCTTGCCTAAAGATCAGAGAGTTTAGCATGACAAGCTAGCTGTTTTGCCTCGTGATACACTATATTCAACTTTGGTACTGACTATGCCTTGCCACTGTCACGTTCCAAAGAAGGAAGACTGATTAGTCCTCTCAACTCCATGGCCCTCTTCCCTGCCAGGTACTGTGTTGCCTTGGTTCAGTATGCCCGCGCCACGGCCCACACGGTACTGCCCAGCGTGACAGCCTTCACAGGTAGTAACTAAAGCAGACGTGAGCGATGAGTGACACACTACCATTCACAGTACATGAGAAAAGGGTCCCTTTTGTCTCACCACTGTAGCAATCAAGAAGCCTGACCTTTCCTTCACTGTGAGGGAATGCTGTTTCAAATAACTGAGCATGTCCTGCAGAATCCAGCCGATCACTTTCTTTGGCTTCATCTGGGTCTGTTTTACCACATTTTCAAAGAATTCTGTTAATCCGTCTTCATTCTGTTAATGAAAAGTTAAATGCATCAGAAGGACACCAGAGTGCAAGCATGTTTGATTACGAAATTACATCTGGAGTAAAAATACTCAGTCCTAAAGTAAACTTGGTTTTGTGAAGCCACTGTGAAGTCACAAAACTCCGGGGTGATTTTATTAACATAACAGCGAACAGACACCGTTGTGCCTGGACGAGGTACACAGAGCTTACCTGCCAGCCTGCCGGTTCCAATGGAAGTTCTGATAAAGGAGTGATCTTTTTTTTTTTTTTCCTTAACTCCTCCCTAAAATTAGCATCTGGGGAAAAGCTTTCTCATCTCCTCATCTGTTTTAAATATGTATAATGCTAGGAAATACAATGCTGCCATCGAAGACGCTGTCATGCAGCCTTTTACCAAGAAGAGGTTTTTCTGGAAACTGTCTACAGCTACTTCACTCTTGGTCTTGCAATCACTTCTGTTTATTTTGGATTGAAGCAGCAAGTTTAGCTTGCGTTCGCCCTTCAATAATGTGGAAAGGTCACACTGGAAGAAGCAAGGGTTCACTTTTCTCATGTTTTTCAGAGAAGCTCTGTAAGCTTTTCCGCAGTACCCTAAATGCTCAGAAGGTCTGACAGTAGGGGATTCAATTTATTGCCCAGGTGAAATCCGAGATTGTTTTTAGGAGAACAGACACCGCGCAGGCTGTTGAACGCTGTGCTGTTTGTCATCGAGGCACTGATGGATCTTTAACTGCAGCACAGAACTCATTAGGCCTACCGAAGGCTGAAGAGATATTAAGTGGCAGCTCCCACCTTTTGAAGGAGGAATCCAAATCCAGCGTGCCACTGGACTTGCGCAGCGTGTGGCATAAATGCACAGGAAGGCAAGCCAGCTCTCAGTAGTTGTCAGAGGTAGACAGCCAAGATTCTAAGTACACTGTCATCACAGCAAAAACATTTTCCAAGCACATACTGACTGCAGCCAGATCTCCAAGCAGTTCCCAGCAAAGAGAATGCAGGTACACACTAAACTAAAGCCTGACTTTTCCACTCAAACACACCCCGTCAGACAGACTCATTTGCCCTTGTTTTTAAAGGCAATTTATCATCACAGCAATACAGAATTTTCTAAGTACACTGTCATCACAGCAAAAACATTTTCCAAGCACATACTGACTGCAGCCAGATCTCCAAGCAGTTCCCAGCAAAGAGAATGCAGGTACACACTAAACTAAAGCCTGACTTTTCCACTCAAACACACCCCGTCAGACAGACTCATTTGCCCTTGTTTTTAAAGGCAATTTATCATCACAGCAATACAGAATTTCAGCCTTTTCTCCTCAAAACTTTCACAGTACAAACTTCCGACAGCTCTAGATACGACATTTTTCATTGGTAATGATGTATGGCTTTTGAGCAGACTGCAGACTACTGCTCCCTGTTCTGTGAAACAGAACAAAATGCACTTAGATTAATGGCTGATGTGCTGTGAAACCGGTGTGACAGAAATCAGACCCGTCTCCTTTACCTTGAGACCATGGGAAAAGAAACCAAGTTCTCAGCCTAGGAAAGCCGCAGAAGTCCGCTGGGAACCACAGTAGGTCTCCTAACCCCCCCGTTTATCTATCTAATGTGGACAGGCCTAATTCCCTTCTTGCCCAGTGTTCTTACAAATTTAGCTAGCAGTTATTTTGTAATCAAATCATGTAAAATCTAAGGCTAAACAGACTACGAGGAACAACTTAGGCTTAAAAAAAACCCACAACAGTAAGGGAATGATGTGATTACCCAAGTACGGTAAGCTTGACTAAAAACTGTGCGTGTGTTAAGTGGAATTACTAAACCGATGCATTCCTGAATGCTGTACTCTTTCTAATTCACCTCAGAATTCATTAGCACAAACAAACACTGATTATTGAAACAGCAGGTTCCGTTCCACAAAAACACCGGTGCGATGTGGGCAGGAAAAAGGGAGCAGGTATAAATGCCGGTCTCCTTACGCACGCTGCAGAAGCTTTTACAAACGCTCCAGGCACAGCCAGTCTAGCTACAGCATCACACACAGGAAAACAACGTCTGCGGATGGCACATGCCTGAACGCAGGCTACAAACCCAGATGGCACACCCAGCACTTCCACCCTGCACCGGCTAGAGCGCGCGTCTCTGTTCAGATTTCCAGATACCAGCAACTTGGCTGGAGCTGCAGCTCCGACCCTGCTACCAGACCCTTGGAAATCAAGGGCAAACATACCCAGCCTTCCCATTTTAATCAGGTGATTTCCAGGCAGCAAGAGCAGAGGAGCCCAGGAATCCTCAGGGAGACTTACGCGTTACCAGGTACCGAACCCCACTCGTGCTCATGAAACCAGACCTGTTCCCCCTGATTCCCTTGCATTTCATCTTAGGTTTTTTAAGTGACTGTCATGTTCTGTAGCCAAAGAGTAGGGAAACCCAGCAAATGCCAGACTGAAACGAACATGGCAGAATGTCACAACATCAAAACGACTGACAGAAATGAAACATTTTCCTTATTTTCTGCATTCTTATAGAAACGTAGGCACACCCTGATCAGCTTCAGTTCCAGGCACTGTATTACCTGGGCTTTGATCTGACCTACATTTTGGTCAACATTACTCACGCCAAATTCATTCAACTACCAACACACACGCACTTGTCCCTTGTGACAGGTCTGAGCTGAAAACCACCACACGCTCTAATGTGCCGGTTGCCAGGAACGCTGACTGACCGCTCTCACTTAACTCTGACTAACATACCTTAATCTTCATAGCAGGAAACCGAGAAATCTGGAATTGCAGCACTGTGTTTGGGATCCAGGCCCACTCGGTGCTCCCACTGCACACCAAACATGCTGGAAGTTACTTATTAGTCTGACTGGCATGGAATCTGACATACCAGTATTTCAACCGGATGCAAATTTCTTTCTTAAGAACAGGGTTTAAAATGATCATTTCACAGTACTGAGATGTCAAATAAATGGTGGAGTAATTCCAGACGCTTTTGAAGCAAGTTTAAAACAACACGTTATTTTCCACAATGCCATGGGTACAATCTTTAGGGACATCGGGTCCGCAACGCAAACTTACACTTTTAGAGACCAATGATGTTTCCCAAAGAACCGAAGCAGGAAAGTACACCAATGTTAACAAATGAAATGTAATTTTCTGCTTTCTTATTCCCATTTTCACTATCACAGTTCCCACAATAACCAACTGTGAGCTAACAACTGTGCCAAAAAGTCCAAAATTGTCAGGGGAAAAAACCCCCCGAAAATCTAGCCAATTAAAAACCACAAGCAGAGCAGTCAAAGAAGTCCAATCTTTTCCCGACAGCTTCTTATGAAATGATTTAAGTTCGAAAAATCAAGTCATCTGCACACCAACTTGTATGAGAACAGTCTGTCGTAAACAAAACAGTCAAACCTGACTTCCCACTTTTGACTGCTCGAAGGATTCACCAGTGTAATTGTTCCACCAGAGCGATGAGCCAAAGCCCATGGGGAACTCCCACTTTTATCTGAGTAAGCAGGGGAACAGTAAATGTACAGGAAGGCTTGGAATTCAGATGAGAAAGGACGTGATCAGACTGTTATTTTCTAATGCTGTACTGTGACAACTGATCTATTTTTTAGTTGGACATCCCCGGACTTCAGCACGCTTTTTGAAAACACACGTCACATTAATGTCTGCGCTGATATGTCTTGGTTTCCTGACTCAACAGGAAGCAAGACAAAAGTATTATAATACCATAACTGGCAAAGTTGTCAGAGATCCTTCTTGACTGAAGTATTTGCCAGCCTACCAGGTCAAACAGCAAAGCAGAAATTGCCTGCAGAACGTGAGTACACAAATACCATGGAGTCTCCACGGCTCAAAGAACTGCACCTTTAGGAATAAGAAGGGTTCTGCATGAAGAAAATCTGAAACTTCGTTTATTTTTGCAACTTATCGAAAACTCTCAAAAACATAGCAGTTTGCACTTAAGAAATTTCAGATAGAGAGATGATGTTAACAGGCAATGCTCTCCTCCCATTTCAGCACATCTTGTAACTAGGCAAAGCAGGAGTCTCAGATTCTCAGTACTGCAGCACATACAGGTAGCTGCTGTATCGGAGAAGAAAGCTCAGGAAGTAAGCTTGGAAATGGACTTGCATGCTGAAGTTTGGTATTGTTTTATTGTAACTGTGGCGCATAATGTTTTCTCTAACAAGTTGGCACAGAATAGAGATTTTGCATTTTAGAGTCATCCCTCTACCGCTGCCATTTATTTAATGAGCACTCCTGGGCGCTCTAACCTGAACGAATGCTCGTTAGATTTGTGCATCTGGCCCTATCAGCAATCTTCTGTAAGCTCTGATGTAAGCCTAACACAGCAATGGCCATACCGTTTTCAGATGAATTAAGGTTAACTAGTCTCCCAGTGAACAGGCAAGCAACTTTTATGGAGAGTGTACACGCTGACATTCTAATGCACAATAAAAGAAGACCTGCAATGAAGAACGCCTTCACTTCATGCATTCAAATGGATGCATTATCTTATTACAAACCAAATCCCAAATTTCAGCTTGGAGCTCATTAATTGTCTTACACGTTGCAAAAAGGAAAAAAAAGTTAAATGGGAAAACGCAAAGGCGATAGTGTGTTTCGGAGAACAGCTGGAAAGAAAGGGCAGTTGATGAGGCAGATACATAGGGCTGCTGCCAGGGAGGACAGAAACCAGGCGGCAGAAGCCATCAACACCAGCAGAACTGAAAGGCACAAGAAGTGGGTTGGTGCCAAGTGAAAGGAGTGGGTGCTCTGGGTCTGGCTGGGATGGTGTTTCTTTTCTTGAGAGCAGACCGAGGGGGGCTGTCTTCTGGGTCTGTGACTACGGCGGTGCTGACAACACATGGGTGTGTCGGCTACTGCTGAGCAGTACTTGCACAGTGTCAAGGCTTCCTCTTTTTCCCATTCTGCCCCCCACGGTAGGCCGAGGGTGGGCATGAAGCTGGGCCGGGACGCTAACCCAAATGAACGAAGGGGATATTCTGTGCCATGTAACACCATCCTCGACAAGAAAAGCTGAGAGAAGGGTTTTTTTTGGGGAGGCAGTCATTGGCTGGACGCTAGCTGCACATCAGTCTACTTGTGGGAGGTGGTGAGTGATTGCATTTGCATCACTTTTGGGTTTTTGCCTTCCTCCTTCCTTAACTGATTCAAGTGTCTTTATCTCAAACCAAGAGTTCTAGTGGTTTTGCTCTTCCTACGTTCTCCCTGCCCTGTCCCCAGTGGGGGGAATGAGGGAGCAGCTGTGGTACTTAGCTGGCAGGGGTCAACCCCCCACAGAGGGGAGAAGAATGAAAATAGAAAGAAGAGTTCAGGACCTATCTGGCCTTCTGAGCTCTGTTTATTTTACTGTAAAAAAAAATGCATGCATGGACAGGAATGCTGGCTGCGAAATCACATTTTCCAGCTTATAGGATGAAACACAAAGGTAAGACACTCCTGACACCTCTTGATGCTATCGCTGCAGCCTCCTGACTTTGATGAGGCTTATGACTCGCCTGCCCACCAGACAGCAAAAGATCTGCCACTCCCTGAAATGGCACACCACCACAAAAGCAGTTTTCCTAACAGCTTTCCTCAGAAGAACGAACCTTTTTTTCCTGTAGAACCAGCTTCTGTACAAGTGTATTAAATTACACAAAGGAAGGATATTAGGTAGTTAAGTTAGGTGCACTGCTCTCCTTCCATTTATAGTCAAAGGAAAGGAACTCCTCCAGAGGACAATTCAGAGTACTTACCGTTCCGCTCTGAATCTTATCTGAAGTCCTTTTCCTTCTGTCCCCACTAATCACAGCGGTAACCAAAGCAGGCCACTGTCCTAGCTTAACTGGCTACCTGAAGTGTCTGATCCTGGAGGGGTATAGTAACCCCCCCACAGTGTTATCACTAGCAAATAGAGATGACACAGCTTGCATTTAAGCAGCTCAAAGTCCTTTAGAACAGTTTTGGAAGTTGAGATTTTGCTGTCACTTCCTTATTTATAACCATATTTGCCACATCCTTTTCTTTCTCATCCCCTCTTGTGAATCTATCACTGGTAAATGGCATCATGAAGTCAAAGGTGATGCTGTAGAGCTGTTTTGTGTATTTACCTAAGTCTGTCTTTTTTTCAAAATAACGTGGAAGCCAGATCAACCAGGGCACGTGAAGCTGAAAGATTTAAAATTTGGGGCTTGCTTCTGCAGTCAGGAAAACACGTCTGTTAATTTGTTAGCTACTGACAATGCACCCAGCCTTGTACCAGACCTAAAGACAAGAAGAGGAGGCACTTGCAAGGCAGGATTTGTCAGTTGCAGCTGGGCACAGGCACATCCACGTGCAGGCAGACAAGATCAATATTAAATAATAGGTATTTGACTGCACCTTGCATGAGAAATGCTTCTTGTGGGCACACTGCGTATGGTTCCTGTTTCCCACCCTTCCGTGTATATGGCTTCAAGGTACAAAGTGTGCATCAGACATATTTCCAACTGAAAACCATCCATGAGAACTGACAGCTAGTTAACATGACATTTGTAAATCTTTTCAAAACCTGCGCAACTTTGAAGTTTCGAGGCTTATTTTAGCACTTGATCAACAGACCTACCAATAAGGTGAAGCTGTGTTCAGGAAGAATCCCATAACGTTCAACCAGCCTTGCTCTCTTCACACTGGGGAGGTCAGGAAGTCTCTCATGAATCCAATCAACATTCACCACTTGCTGATGGTTCATATTAGCTGGCAAAGATTTAGCATCGTACAGAATCAATGGAGGAAGGTTTGGCTCTGGCATGAACCTAGTGAAAATGATTCTTTTCAGTCAGAAGCTAAGCAACATGGAATAAGATTTGTATAGCAGGCTTATGCTTACCTGGAAGTTGTACGACTATTTCAACCAAACAAAATATTAAAAATTCATGACTTGGTATATCACTGTTAAGTAATAAAAGATCCACCCTCGAACTGCTGTAAAGCCCCTATTTTCTTTTTTGGAGTATTTGCCACAGATTGTCAAAGAGTCGATGACAGAAAAGGGGTAATTAAAACACTTCTGCACCCAAATAATAATAAAAAAATAACAACAATAACAGTAGATATGGCAACAACCCATTCCTTTTGGCATCAAGCACGAATTGTGGATCTGGACAAAACGGGAGTGGACTGGCAGGGAAAACCCCGGAAGGACAGCCAACTACCAGGATTGACCTGGGCGGGCTGCAACCTTTTCCAGGCTAACTTCAAACATCTTGATGAAATCTCACACTGTGCAAAGTTACTGTGCTCAGCAGGCTGCCATCACAGAACAAAAGGCTCCCTGAAAGAGAAGGGCCAATTCAAAACGCTCAAATAAGAAACCTCACTCATAGGTGATCAAATGAGGGGTTCCAAAGTACCAGAATAAAGGTCATTGGGCACCCTCTACATTTACTGTACTAATTTCGATTTCAAATCTGCCTAAACATAGATATTAAGTTTAATGTATGATGTGCAGCAGTAAGTTACAGAAAATCTGAAAACCAAAATCCGAAAATCAGTTTAATACTGATCATAATCTTAGTACTAGTAATCATCTTTCTGTCTTTGTGTGAAATATCTTAGGCTCACCAGTTCTTGTCCAGGTTTTCATGACTTTTCTTTCGCATTTGTTCGAATTAGTCTTGTTAAATAAGCCTCATGCCAGACCCTACCATAATAGGGAATTCGTAAAATGATCACTGCCTTTTCTGCTGCAATTCTACAATCAATAATTCAAAAAGCAGATTTAAAGTTTGTAGGGTGTTTTCAAAATCCTTACTCTGCTCTAGTAAGATCAGTGGTAGAATATATGTAGCAGAGAGGCAGGGCCTGCCATCTGAAAATCGTTTCCCTCAATATTTACGTAAAGCAGGAGCAATGCTTAACTCGGAATACTCTTACATTTTACGTCAGGCATTCTTAAGAATATGCTTGTACTGGCCACAAAGTAAACCTTCAACGTATCCACTTTGAGCAAGGGTACTCTAGCTTAGATTTTGGGAAAGGTCTGTGGGTTTTAGCAGAGATGAGACACAGTTCTTGATGTGAACTACTCAGACCAGCACTGATTTTCGTAGGTCTCTTCCCCTTACAGTGGAAGGTAAACTTCCAATAATAATTACTATACTGACTAACTTTGCATGCTCATTACACTAACTACATTTAAGAAATGAAATTAAGTTCTCAGTTCTTGAAATGTTAACTTTATTAAAAAATGAATACCGATAATCCTGTTTTCCTTCTTTGTCCCTCATTGGTACAGTGCACCTAAAATAAAAACAGTACAAGTAAGATGTGAGAAGAGGTTCACCACAGAATTAGTTTTATGGCAAAACCACCAAACAAAACCTTTGCCTCATGAAGAGCAGGAGAGCTTCTTAAAGCCACTTCAAAGAGAGTGTGTGTGTGTATGTGTGTGTATAAGAGGGCAGTCATTTTCACACAGACACTGCTTTGATGTAACACACAATCTGTCGTGAAAAAGCCTCAACTTTAAGAATAAATTACTACCTGTGAGGAGTCTGTGCTTGTGAACATCACCTTTAGAAGACAGAAGCTGAGCAATGCCACGTTACCTCTCCTGATCATGTCACTAGGTATCTGTGGCACTCTCAAGCTGCTACTCCTCATGTTCCTCCAAAATAAAAACTTACCCAAGCTTGGAATCAAAGGCTCTTGTTTCATTCAGAATTGTTCCTCCATTTTCCAGTTCTTCAATTTGCCTCTGTATTTCATAGTCTGACAGAAACAAAAGAAAAAAGCGTAAGCTTGTTGCACTGCATTATTAGCTTTTGTACACTCTGCTATTTCATTTTTTCACTGCTATGCAATAATGGAATAGATTGTTGTTTTAACCTTAATGAAACCAACAGCAGTAATTCCAGGCAGAATTATCAGTCACTGTCTCCCTCTCCAGCACTGTTTCTTTCTTTGCGTGTTTTCCTCATCTTCTTTCATTCCCTTTAAAGAGAAAACATTTTCTCCCAGGCACTGCAGCCAAGCCATACATTCCTAGTGACCTTCCAATCACCCAGTTGAGTTTTCTTTCAGAGATGTAATAATCCTCCTTTCTTGCTCATGCCCAAGCTGCATCTGAGCTTCATACACACCGCCCACCGTACTCAGTGGAAAGCAATCATCCCCACTGGAGGACAGAGAGCAACTGCTAACATATTTCAGTACTAAACATGCTATGCACTGAATCATCTGCTTTAATCTTCCTGCAGGCAGAGGGTCACCTCTAACACAGCTGCTATCCCCACAGTACCCCATACTAAGATTTACTCTGTCAGGGAGCAGGAAGAAAACCCAGGAGCCGAGGGTGACACAGCACAGGCAGTGCCCTCGCTGCCTGGACAGTCCCATCGGTCTGAACAGCACGGGCTGAGGCATGTGCTACTAACAGGGTCTGCTGGCAGTCCCAGTCAAGGTGAGGGGATGAGCTGGGTCCAGGGTCCATCCCGGGAGTTCAGTCAGAAGCAGCAGGAGCTAAGCCAGAGACAGGAATGGGAACAAGACTACAGAACAGGTCCCAGGTCCATCAAGAGACAGGACTGAACACTGGCACACCTATGATGCAGCTCAGGCAAAGTCTGAAGGCCCTGGGCTGAGCTCAAACAGACTTCTGGATCCACAGGCAAGATGCATGGATGGGACACCCGGATGAAGCTATTCAGGGCATTTAAGGCCAACTACTGCACTCAGGAGCCTGACATATTTCATGTCAGACCACATAAAATACCTGCAATGCTCCTGTAATGAAGCAACCATCGTTTACCTACTGCTTTTGCCAGGAATCGTATGCTATTGATGTTCTTCACTTCAGTCCTCACTCCGTAAGGGTCTCCAGGGTGATGCACAGAAACATTGGCATCCACTCTCAGCTGACCCTCTGTAAAAGGAAACTTCATCAACAGAACAGTCTGCCCTGTAAACCAGACTAAAAACCTTGGCACGCATTGATAAACTGCAGAGCATTAATAGCAGACTTCCGTATGTTCAGAAAGGCGTAACAACCACCTCATCACAGCGCTTTGTTTGTGATTCCACTGCAAACCTCTGCCTCCAATCATTTCTGAGAGAACTACTGTTTTAAGAAAAAAATATTGCTCATAATTCCTCTCAGAGAAAACTGCATGGTGCAGTGCAGCGCAGCTCCTCTAAGCCATATAGAGGAAAAAGCTTCTGATTCACAGCTCCTACATAAAGGGCAGAATTAGACAAGCAATTTAAAATGGTGGATTGTGAGCTGCCATTTCTCTAAAAACAGCATAAAAATACCTTTTGGAATTACAATTTGATGAATATATACTACCCTTGCCTGGAACACAAGAACTTACAGTTACGTTGAACAGATTTACTAAGGTGTTCTTGGAAATTTACAGCTCAAGGACAAAATGCGAGTAGTGGTGGATGGTTATTTTTTTCCTCTCCTTCAAGAAACTGCAATCTCCCCCCCTCTCCAAATTTCCCTGGCTGCTAAAAACTGAAACTGAATACAAAGTTACATATAAAAGCATCCTGCACTTTAAGTCCAAAATGGAATAATGTCCTCAGAGATCTTTAATGACTCAACCACAAGTAACTCGTAATTGTATCTTTCTAAGTTTTGTCCCTCTAAAGACATCCCTTCTGAGAAGAAAAGGCTTGCAGCAGTTATTCAGCTGGTGGGAATAAACAAACAGGAGGGGTTGTATTAAAAAGAAACACACATTTTTCCCATAGCGCACGGTGAACATTTGTAGCCTTCCTCTTTCGGTTTTGTGGGGTTTTTTGGTTTGAGGTTTGTTTGTTTTGTTTTCATTTCAAATACAGATAAAAGGAAACAAAGACTTAGTGTTTAAATACGGCAGCGTTATTAATGAGAGCACAAAACAGCTCAGAGTTAAACCTGTGAAGACAGCTTCAACATCCATTTAGGTCAATAGATGTAAATTGACTAGAGCGGCCTCAGTACACTCTGTAAAAGGGCACTGGATGATAGTGCACCGATTTCCTCCCCCTTCATAGAGTCTTGCCAGACATGCAAATGAAGGACGAAGGTGCTGGAATGACCCAACATCTCTTTCAAGAGAAGTGTTTTGCATGTGCTCCCTTCTCTGGGGTGAAATGAGTACTTGTTCCAAAAGAGGAATAGTCTGGTCCTGCCCTTGCTTCATTTTGAGATATGACCTGCTTCTACTTGGATGTAGGTGTCAATGTGACAAGACAATGAAGTTAATCAGGCGTAAGTGAAAGGAGAGCCAGGCCCCAAATGTTCTTAAAAAAGCTTTTTTCCTATAAGCCTACTTAAAGCCCGGCTTCTTTTCCTTTCCCATTGCAATGAAATCATCTTTCAATCTGTTTGTTGTTAATGAAGTAACACCTGATAAAACTGGGCACTTGTCTTCACTGAACACACAAGTAGAATGAGGGTAAAATATGAGAACTGAAAGCCCTTCTTTAAAAGCAAGTAATAATGATGAGGGAAAACCACATCAGAAAGCCCTTAAAAACACCACCCATATAGTTTTAAAGCCATCTATACTTGAGGGAAAATACTCCCAGCGCTGGAATTCTCACTGCAGTAAGTCAGAAATCTCACTGCAATAAAAGCTATCACAGTGCAATTCCAATGGCAAACTTCGGGCTGAGTTCAGTAGTGATAAATGTGGTATATGTGTACGTCCACAAAGGCCTTTGAAGAAGCATGCAAACTGGCTGCTTAATATTAACAACTGTTCCCTGTTTGACATGGTTAACACTTGCGTGAGAAAAGGCTCACAGACATGTATAATGTCTGGCAATTATTATTTCCCCTTACATTAAATCAGATTTTCATCACTAGCCAACATTATTGGATCCCATTTACTGGGTGATACATGCACCACTCTGACTCAGTTCTCTGGGAGATGCATCCACTTATACTGTGGCCTGAATTCGCTGCCAGAACAGTGAGGCCAACTGCCACAGGCAAAAATATAGCTTACATTGTGAACACTAATAGGCAGCTGATAATTGGGCGTACGTGTGGAGGGGATGAATGCCCAAAACTGTACTTTTAAAGTCTCAAGCAGAAGCCTGCTATTTGCTAGCTGTAACCATGGGCTGGTTGTCAATTTTTAGAACGTTAGGACCGAGCAAATATGGCGTGACCTGAATCCTCCAGTTAATAGAGACAGAATCACCAGTTAGGGGGCTGATCACATGCTGTGCTTCTGCACATCACCTTTTGTGAAAATTGGGGCCCTAAGCTCTTCTTAAATAAGAGCTGGTGCCAAAAGCTGGTTCCCAAAAGAGGAAGCGATGTCAGAAAGACAGCAGTGAACTCGGCTAGAGATCCGGGAGGTAGGGGAAGATCCCCAAGACCAGAGATGCATGGAAATGAATGCCAGGGGATGCCTAAGGACCTTGGCCTCTAACTCCTGAGACTGGGATCTGCAAGCCTGCTGCACAGCATGAACCAGCACAATTCTCTGACCCACCTCCCAGACCAGCAGTGATCTCCCTGGTGGGAAGAGAAGTTGATACCTAGTGAACATAATGCTGGAGGGGAGGAGGGACAGAGTGAGTGTGTGAGATGATCAAGCAAAAGCCACAATCTCATGGGGTCTTCAATTAACCCCTGCCCCGTATCTGTTAGGCACTCACATTTACTCCACCTTAGCCATGACACCAGCACAAGTTTACTGTCTACACCCATTTTATGACTAGCTGAGACCTGACACACAATTTACAAGATGAACCATGCTCTCACTACTGTGCCCCACAACTTCCATGTTCTACAACTAAACCTTACTACAGATCTTCTGTGCTGCAGTGCTGTGGCAAGCAAGATGAGGACAGACAGGGAGAAACACCACAAGAACCCTGGGGACATTGCTTTCTGCCTAGGTTTATCCTGTAAAAGTACTGTGCGAGGCAATATAAAATCCAGCCCTGCAAAGCTCTGCAGATGAAGGCAGGCCCACAAGGACACCTGAAGCATGGCAGACATTAGGACAGGCTCTGAGGACTGGAAAAACAACAGCTAGAAAAGGCTATGCCTTATAATGACCACGGAGCAAAACAACAGAAGCTGCAAGACTCCTGCAAAGGCAGAGAATTACTGGTGACAAGGGAACATGCCCTTCCCCCTTCCCTACCTGCCATGACTGCCTGACTGCTCCCAAGTGTTTGAAGAATGAGCTGAAGCTCTCTGACCGCTGCAGCTGCTTCTTCCCCACAGCACATATCAGGCTCCATGACAACCTCCATGAGGCCGACTCCTAACAGGGAAATAGACAGGAGATTTTCAACAATAGCTTTTCATCTTGGCTTATTAGAGTGCAACTAGCTAAACATATGAAAGCGCTTGGGCTTTTTTTGAAAACAAAACAAAACAACACAACACCCCCCGCCCATGTATTATTTAGTAACTGTCACTATGGGCCTGGCTGCAGACTGCCATAAAAACTTTCCCTATTTTTTTAAAGGAACAGACAAACCGCAGACAATCCTCCACCCTTTGATGACACGCAGATCAGAAGGACACATTCTTCTTCTGTCTTTCTTTAGGAGAACTCCCATTTAAAGCCAATCTGATTTCAGATTTATTTATCTTGGACTAATTTTGGAACAGACAGAACTGGGAACAGACGTAGTCTAGTTTTTAGCTTCAGGATCCAGCCTTCAAAGAACATGAGCAGCCGCAGCCTGTAAGCTCACTGGACACGGGAGCACTATGTCCCCATTAGGCTAGGCCATCCAGGCTGCTGCCCATGTTGTGTGCTGATGTGGTTCATTCCGTTTTGCAATTTCCGAGTTGAAAGAGAAAATTCTACGTTTTTTCAAAGCTAATAATTAAAAGGAATGTCTGACTCATGCACTGACAAATTTCAGCAGCTGCTCCTCCTATACACAAACTTGATTCACTAGATCTGTGCTATTTTACTTTTCTTAACAACGCATACAGGGGCAAGAGCTTGAATAGCCGAGTGGCGGTATGCGACTGACACGCAGTTTTGAGTGAACTGGAGCCAACACATTTCTAACTTGCTATTGCCAGTTGCCATCAACCAGCAGCAATTGGAAAGGTTCACTGGCCATTAAAAAATTCAAGTATTCCCCTGCTTCAAGTGTAATGGTCATTTTGATGAGGTTTTATTTTCAAGGAGAAGAGACATCAGGTTGCTTCTATTTTTCCCCTTCCTTGTCACCCATTTACCTTTAAAGACTCACAAAAGGAGGAGAAAAGTACGAAAATAATCCAAACCTACCAGCCCTATTCAAGTCAACAAGAGTCTGGCTCCTTGTGTCATCATGGAGACTCTTTCCACTGTCTTGCTCCAACTGAATTTGTTTAATCCTCACAGTTTTGGTCACCATCTGGCTCATTTTGTTGTCTATGCAGAGACTGTATGACAGACTTCCATTCACCGCAATAGGAACTCTTTGCTGAGTGATTTGATAGCCAGCCTGTCAACAAAATTAGCTTTATACTCAAATAAAACATTCACTTTTCAGAAAGCAGCAGCATGGCCAAGTGCAAATACCATAGACTAAGAACAAAGCTGAAATTGCCACATCTTCCACAGTGACCTACGTAAGAGGACAGAACACGTGCACATGTAAATTCAGAAGTTATTTTGCTTAGCTGGAAAGGAAGCAAGCTAAAAGATGGCTCTAGAATTCGACATAACAATGAGAAGCTGGAGATCTGGAAAAAACAAGAGCACTCCTCAACAGAGGCAAATATAGGATACCATACTAATGCAGGAATGATCAATAATCAACTGTACAACCGCTTGCCAAGGATGACATAAATTTCACTGAGACTGCCTCGGGGCAGGAAATGGACCAGAAGAGGTTCTTCCACACCTGTGGTTCCGTGATCATGTTAAATCTTGCCTGAAGCCAGTTACCGTACCTCCATCCCCAAGTGGGGACTATCACTCATCCTCCCATCAGGCTGAATATCCCCCTCTGCCTGTTCAGAATTTCACTCATTAGAGGGAAAGACAGGGAGAAGGAAGCGGGGGGGACACAGGGAGGTGGAAATGAAGAAAACGAAAAAGCTCAATTTCATTAATGTAGCAATTTAAAAGTTAGACACTGCAACCCCACATAAGGCACACAGCTGATAAATGCCACCTCGTGCCTGGGACTCCACTCCAGGGGAAATTGCTAGATGGAGAAGGGGCTGCCAGTGACAAGGTATTGGAATAACTGCAATGATGTAAAGATACAGAAGTGAATCAATTACTCTGTTGAGTATCAATTACTCTTCCTCCTTCCTAGCCTGCTCATGCCCCCAGTAGTGAGAATCCAAATGCAAAGCCTGTCAGATTTTAATGAACTGGGAGGAGCACTGGTGTATACTGCAGGGAGGACAAGCTTACTCTAAAATGTAAAGGTGGTGGTAGTGCATTAGAATGGAGAACAATGGTCTGGCCCTGTGAACAGCTCAATTTATATATGCAATGAAGTGCATGACCTTCTAGCCATAATCACTAGAAGAAAAATAAAGTAACTGACTCCATGCAGTCTATGTTAATCACACAGCTCTTCCCATCTCCTAAAACTTCTCATTAAAATGATTTTCTTAAAGCCTGAAATAGTGAGTGACAATAAATAACAAGAATCCCATTTCCCATCCAAAGCCCCATTTTCAGGAGTAACAATAATCCCATTGTCAAGCGACCCTAAGAGCTGGATTTATTTTATCTGTTCTATACAGCTCATTAGCCTAAACTCTGCATCTTATTACAGGGTTCCTGACTAGACTGTTGCACTGTGAAATGCAGGACGGGCAGTTTATTGTTGGTGCTTAAATTGCAGAAGTCAGCCAGTAGAAAGCCACAATTGCATGTTTCCAGCTAATAAAATGTGTCAGCATCTCCTTCACCAAATTTCTGTGCTTATCTGACCAGAGGATCCTGTAACTCATGCCTGCAGACAATGGCAGCCCATCTGGTGCTGTACACACCTTCTTCCACCTCACTCTTCTCTTCTACACACATGCATGTGGTTTCTTTCCTAGGACAGCATTCTTCCACACAGCTCCTATGTGGCAGACGGACAGCAGCAGCAATCACAAGAATGTGAGAGTTTGTTTTCAGTTTAACAGCAAAAGCACCAAAGGTGGCTTGCATCTGTGATGCTTTTGTGGTTTCTTTATGATGTGTAAAGGAATTCTGAAAGTCATGTATTTCCTGCTATTTCACTTTTTTCTCCTTCAGGTCTGTAAATGGGCTTTAAGATCATTTTGCAAGTTTAAAAAAAAAAAGTACTGGCAATTCAAACTGCTAAGTTTGTGTTTCACGTTCCCAGTGGGGCTCACTACAGAGACACCAACAAAAGGGCCTCGTAATGGCTCACAAATACTAGCAAAGTTAGCCCTAGAAACCAAATCAATAATTACATCAACTTCACAGAAGAGCCACAAGTTCCAATCCTGGAAGAAACAGAACAGAAATCTCTTCTAAGATCCAGGTCTCCACTGGACAACTCTAACATAATTCTCTTTCTAAGGTAGGAAACAATTGTCTTTGAATGTTTTATATAACTTCAAAATATTTCCAATGCCTGAAAAAAGGAGTGGGAAAGAAAGCAGTTTGCTTAATAATACAGCAACTCTGCATATTAATTCAGGACCTGATAAATCACCCTCTCTGCTTCTCTGGATGTCCAGGACATGCCATCTAAAGAAAGGATAAGTTAACATGCCTGATCTTTCCCAGATAAAATAGATTTCCTTTCTTTTAATGCAGTGAAAAAAGAAGCCAACAGTAGGTGGAAGCAAGGACAAGTAGCCTGGGAGGATTACAGGGAAGTTGTCCAAGAAGTCAGGGATCAGGTTAGGAAAGCCAAAGCCCTGACTAAATTAAACCTGGCGAGGGACATCAAGGCCAACAATAAGGCCTTCTCTAGATACACAGGGGGATAAGAGGAAGATCAGGGAAAATGTGGGCCTCTGCAGAAGGAAACAGGAGAACTGGTTTCCCAGGATATGGAGAAGGCTGAGGTACTCAATGACTTTTCTGCCTCGGTCTCCACTGTCAAGGACGTGAGCCGAACGCCCCCAGTCACAGAAGATAAGGGCAGGGACTGGGAGAATGGAGAGTCACCCATGGTTAGAGAGGACCAGGTTCGGGAGCACGTGAGGAAACTGAAGGTGCACAAGTCCAAAGGACGTGATGAAATAAATCCGCTGGTCCTGAAAGAACTGGC